GAAACTGTCAATTACAAATCAAGTCCTGGCCAAGTGGAGTCAATTGGAGTTCAAGAATCACAGCTCACTGCATCCTTGAACTCCCGGCTCAGGTGATCCTCCCACCTCAAGCCTCCCAAGTAGGTAGGACTACAGGTGCATGCCACCACACTCGGCTAATTTTTTCTATTTTTTGTAGGGATGGGGTTTTGCCACGTTGCCCAGGCTAGTCTTGAACTCTTAGGCTCAAGTGAGCCCCCTGCCTCGGCCTCCCAAAGTGCTGGGATAACAGGTGGGAGCCCCCATGCCTGGCTGAGTTACACAAAAACAAACAAAAAAAAACTACCTTCCTTTTGTTCCCAAACAGACAGCTGTCATTTCACATGTTTACTTTATCTTATGTAAAACACAGATTTATTAAGCGCACCTCTTTTCATGTGTAAAATGTGGATTCACTGAGTACTAATCAAAGCCTCACAAGAATATAACCACTTCCCTCATTGCCTGCTCGTCCTCCCTTTTCCTTTCCTCTTTCCCCTCCTGCCTGCTCGCCCTCCCTTTTCCTTTCTTCCTTCCCCTCCGGCCTACTCTTCCCTCTTTAAATTTATTTATTTATTTTATTTGCTTATTATTTTTTTTTGAGCTGGAGTCTTGCTCTTGTCGCCCAGACTGGAGTGCAGTAGCATGATCTCAGCTCACTGCAACCTCTGCCTACTGGGTTCAAGCGATTCTCCTGCCTCAGCCTTCCAGGTAGCTGGGATTACAGGTACCCGCCACCACACCCAGCTAGTTTTTGTATTTTTAGTAGAGACGGGATTTCACCATGTTGGCCAGGCTGGTCTCCGACTTCAGGTGATCCTCCCGCTTCAGCCTCCCAAAGTGCTGGGATTATAGGTGTGAGCCATCACGCCAGGTCCCCTCTTTAAATGTTGAAGTCCTCAAAACTCTTTGGAAAAAGCACAGGCCACAGATCCTACTGCAACTTGTATTTCTCTTTCTCTGCTGCGTCCTCGACCTTGGCAAATAATCCTCTAAATCAATCGAGTTCTGTCGCAGACACTTTTTGGCTTATGCCACCCAAAAGCTTCCCTACCCCGCCCGCCTTTGAGTCCCTCTCAAACACAGGTGGCGGTGGCTGCCCCCTTGTTATACAGCAAGCCCTGAATCACAGCCTTTGCACCTTCGCATTCATGTTCTCTGCTTATTTCTATGTCGGAGTAGAGGAGGGAGGGAGTGTGGAAGAGCTGGTGAGGCCAGAACTCCAGAAATGTGAGGTGGGAGGCCCGTGGGCAGGAGAACAGCTGGAGCCTCCACATCACCGTGAGAGCTTCCTCCAGGCCACTGACCTGAGCTCTGGCGTGGACACTGGTTTGGGGCAGCCTCCTCACACGCAGCCATGCAAGCTCTGTAAGGACAGACCCCTGCGCCCCTTGGCATCAGAAGTGGGGCAAAGGGAGTCCAGGCGCAGTGGCTCATGCTTATAATTCTAGCACTTTGAGAGGCTGAGATGGGCAGATCACTTGAGGTCAGGAGTTCGAGACCAGTCTGGCCAACGTGGCAAAACCCTATCTGTACTAAAAATAGAAAAAATTAGCCAGGCGTGGTGGTGGACACCTGTAGTCCCAGCTACACAAGAAGCTGAGGCAGGAGAATCACTTGAACCCAGGAGATGGAGTTTGCAGGGAGGCGAGATTGCGCCACAGCACTCCAACTTGTGCCATAGAGCCAGACTCAGTCTCAAATAAATAGGCCGGGTGCAGTGGCTCATGCCTGTAATCCCAGCACTTTGGGAGGCCAAGGTGTGAGGATCACGAGAGATCAGGAGTTTGAGATGAGCCTGGCCAGACATGGTGAAACCCTGTCTCTACTAAAAATACAAAAATTAGTTGGGCGTGGTGGTGGGCATCTATAGTCCCAGCTACACAGGAGGCTGAGGCAGGAGAATCGCTTGAACCCAGGAAGCAGAGGTTGTAATGAGCCGAGATTGTGCCACTGCACTCCAGCCTGAGAGACAGGGCAAGACTCTGTCAAAAAAAAAAAGAAAGAAGAGAGAGAGAGGGAGGGAGGGAAGGAAGGAAGGAAAAAAGAAAGAGAAAGAGAGAAAGAAGGAAGGAAGGAAAGAAAGAAAGGAAAGAAAGAAAGAAAGAGAGAGAGAGAGAGAGAGAAAGAAAGAAAGAAAAAGAAAGAAAGAAAGAAAGAAAAAGAAAGGAAGGAAGGAAAGAAAGAGAGAGAAAGAAAGGGAAAGAAAGAAGGGGGGCAAAGGGGGCCAAGCAAGAAGAACCTCAGAGGTGGGGCCAGGCTACCGGGCCGGCCAGGGCAGTGCCTCTCCATCCATCTCAACCACCCTTCCCTTCAGACCACCTCTGGGTACATGTCCAGAGCCCAGAGGGATACCTTTGAAAGCCTGGACCCAGGGCTAAGCCCCCATGGGCACAGGATGCTCATGGGGAGGAGGAGCTGAAGCCCCCATTCTCAAATCTCCTAGGGGATTACGTCATGACCGAGTGGAGTGCCGCTGCTTCTCTCTCCAAGCCTCTTGCACCATCCTCCTTCTCCCTAGAAGTGCTCCCGGGACCACAGAGGGTGTGAGTATTCCCTCCCTTTGCCCCCAGGTCTCCTCCGAACCCAGTGTACCCTGCAGAGTCATCTGGCGCCCCTCCAGCTCCTCCCTGTCTCTTGCCTGGGCTATCCCTCTGGCCTCCTAAGGGGTCTCTGGCCTCCTGACACATCAGTTCATCCTCCCTAATACCACCAGCAGGATCTTTCTAGAACATACCCTAAGAACCATCAGGAGCTCAGTGTGCTGTATGAAGACCTTCAGTGTCAGCACCAGCCCACCATTCCAACGTTATCTTCCATCACCCTCTTTCTACCCACTAGGTCCCGGCCACACCAAACTACTTACCGTTTTTATCTAACTCCCGGCATTAGAGTTAAGGAGTATGTGCTCCTGTGTGCTCAGACGCACAAAAGACTGATTGACTTCACCTTGAACCTGCCTTCTAGATCCAGGCTCTGCTAACACTAGCATCTCCCTGTGCCTTGCACACAATGGCTAGATGTACAGAAGCCAGAGAGCAACAGGCTGATTCAAATCCTGCTTCCCCGACTAACTAGTGTTCTTTGGGCAAATTGCTTAAACTCTCTGGCCCTCAGTATGTCCACGTATAAAATGGACACGACAAGAATTCCTGCCTCGTAGGGTTATTGTGCGAATGGAATGAGGCAGTGCATATAAGAAACTAGGCCTGGCCGGGCGCACTGGCTCGTGGCTGTAATCCCAGCACTTTGGGAGGCCAAGGCGGGCGGATCACCTGAGATCAGGAGTTCGAGACCAGCCTGGCCAACGTGGTGAAACCTGGTCTCTACTAAAAATACAAATATTAGCTGGTCGTGGTGGCGGGCACCCGTAATTCCAGCTACTTGAGAGGCTGAGGCAGGAGAATCACATGAACCCGGGAGGCGGAGGTTGCAGTGAGCCGAGATGGTGCCATTGCCCTGCAGCTTGGGTGACAAGAGTGAAACTCCATCTCAAAAAACAGAAAGAAAGAAAGAAACTGAGCCCGGGGGGTGGGTGTGGTGGCCTATGCCTATAATCTCGGCACTTTTTGGGGCAGAAGCCGAAGGATTGCTTGAGGCCAGGAGTTCAAGACTAGCCTGGGCAATATAGCGAGACTCCACCTCTAAATAAAGAAAAACAGACAAAAAACACAGAACCCAGTGCCTGGCACATGGAGACGCTCACAGGCTGTCTGTATTCTGCTAGGTGCCTCCAACAGCAAGCTCTGTTTCTCCTACTTCTACTCTGAACTAAGGCTTAGGTGCTTCACAGAGAATTGAAGCTTGGCAACATTTAACTAATTAATTAAATTATTGCTTAAAGACGGAGTCTCCCTCTGTCACCCAGACTGCAGTGCAGTGGCAAGATCTGGGCTCACTGCAACCTCTGTCTCACGGGTTCAAGCGATTCTCCCATCTTAGCACCACACCCCCGGTTCCCCGACCAGCATCTGGGATTACAGGCACCCGCCACCACGCCCAGCTAATTTTTGTATTTTTAGTAGAGATGGCGTTTCACCGTGTTGACCTGGCTGGTCTTGAACTGCTCACCTCCGGTGATCCGCTTGCCTAGGCCTCCCAAAGTGCTGGGATTACAGGCATGAACCACTGTGCCTTCATGAAGTTGGGTAACAGAAGTGACCACAGATTTCATCTAGCTCAGCTTGCATTTTGAAAGTCAGATAACTGAGACTCTGAGATTAGAAAGGACTCTCTCAAGATCACATGGTGAGTGGGTGTGGCGGAAGGGCCTGGAATCCTGGTCTTTTGTACATGCTTTGCTTCAAATCACAGAGCAGCTTATGTGCCTTTATTAACTTACTTTTATTTTCCTCTGGAAATAATATCAAGTCAAATAGTGTCCTTATAATTTGCAGGTACTAGGAGAGGGCCCTTTGGGAAAGGGTTGCATTAGCTGCCTCCCTGAGGGTTCATGACACAGAAAGTTCTAGAAAAGTGATGCCCCCTGGTTAGGGGAATCAAAACAGGATCAGCTGGCATGGCTGGGTGGCAAGCGGACCCTGGGTTGCTTCCAGAGTGGGCTGCTGCTGACTGTGGCAAATGAAGTCTTTCTCTGCCAGCTGGAGGAGCTGCTACTCTGGTGTGCAGGTACCCAAGGCCTTAGCAGGTGTGGCTGGAATGCCACTGGGTCGGGAAAATGAGGTCTAGGACAAGCAGGAGGCTCTCTTGGGTCTCACTGAGCTGAACCATTCACCTGGGAAGAAGAAGAAAGGAGAGGCCGTGGAGATAAGCCAATAGGGCCAAGCCCTTTGTCCTGGCCCCTGGGGACAATCCTGGGGCTGGAAAGTCAAGATCTGCAGAGTTATCCTTCGGTCCTAGGCAAGGGTACAGGCACTCCTGTTGAAAAAACAAGCAAGCAAACCAAACATCTTCCCTGTGAACTGAACCTCCAGAGGTCCCAGGTACTTGGAGGAACTGGAATAAGGTGATTCACAGGTTTCCCTACTTAAAGTCAAAATACAGCCCTTAGCAACCAGTCCCGCCTAGCGGTTACCTACTGAATACATTGCTTTCCCCAAGGGCTGAGCCCTTGGAAATACTCTCCAAGGAGAATGTAGAAAACCTGTCTGTCCCTGTCTCCACTGGCCACACCAGAGCTGCTGTCCCAGAATGAACGTAGGGCTGTGCTCCTACGGTGCTCCCTGGTCAGGGGTCCCAGCCATTTCAATAGGTGGTAGGAGCTCTTCCAGCCAGCCCTGCCCCATCACCTTCCCCGTTAAGCTGTTTCCAGCCCTTTATAACAATCCTTCTACCTCCCTAGGAGACAGAGTCATTGGGCCCTTCTTTCATGGATACGGAGCAACCTCCTCCCCCAACCCCACACACAGGGCCTCAAAGTCCTCTCTGACACCACAGCCTTCCCTAGGCTGTGGTTAAAGCCACTTAAAGCCAACTCACATACCTGCCCCTTCCCTCCATTTAGATGGGTCCCCTCCTCCATCCTACCCGGCTCCCGTGGCACTGCCTGCGCACCCCTCCCTCTGAAGAGCAGTGTGGTAAGGCAGGGGCTGCGGTGCCAGGGCATTTTGGCATGCCCTTCCCGCCCTACCCCGCCCCGCCTGCTAAATATATATCTTGGAGGAGTCCAGGAAGGAGCCACCACAGATGTGATTAACTCTTTCACCTCCAGCACCGTGGAGACAGGGCAGGCTGGAAGGAGCAGTGGGAAGTGGGGGTACCCAAGTCCAGACTAGAGGAGCCCCCGCCCAGGATCAGCTGGCAGATGGGAGAACTCGGCCCCTCACACCAGGCTGGGAGGAAGGGGTCCTGGGATTCTGGGAGGGGGCTGGTCTGTGGGAAAGAGACCCCGAGTGCCCTTACTGTCCCCACCCACCCAGGCCACCTCCACTGTTCAGAAGGAGGAAACTGAGTCAGGAAAGCTCAAATCTCATGGCAATTATCTGGCAAAGTCAGGCCCTGACCCACTTTCTCCAGCAAGAACTGAAAGAAGACCTCAACGCTCTTTTCAAGAGAAGGTGAGGGAGGCCAGGCAGGGAACGCACCTTCCCCCAGGTGGGCCTCTTCCCAGGCCCCTGAAGTGAGGTGTGCAGGCCTCAGATGAGGAGGTGGGTGACTCAAGGCAGGGCTCCAGGTTACCCCTCACCTTGCCCTCTTTCCCGAGTGGCAGCACCCAGCATGGCCCCTCACTGAGAGCTGCCTGTGCGCCCCCTGAAAGGCACCCCAGGGGTTCACCAGGCCCTGCTATCTAGGTTTGGGGGGTGGCGGACTGGAGAGGGCTGGGGTGGGGGGAAGCAGGGGGGGAAAAGACTCTCCCACTTCTGCCTGGTGACAGAGGGAGGGTGTCAGCTCTAGGCCATCTCCAGGAACAGCCCCCCAGGGTTCCCTGTCCGCCACTGCTCATGACCCACCCCGGGCTTCGGCCATCGCCCTCTCCTCACCTTCCTGACCCTTTCCCTACCCTGTTGGGTGGGACTCCTGCCAAGGCCCAAACACTCTTGGAGGGCAGGACGCCTAAAGCTGCCGTGCACAGGAACCACTGACCTGGGTGGATCCAGGTGGAACTACTGGGTAGGGACCAGCCAGACCCCAGAAACTCTGACTGAAGCCCTGGGGCTCTGCAGCCTGGCAGGCCAAGCTCCCCAGAGTGGGGAGGGCAGGGGAGCAGAACCTGAGGCCAGCAGGAGGGGCTGGCGGGACCCTGCCGAGGAGAGTGGAGAGAGGAGGAGGATGAATGATGAGAGAGGCCCTTCACACCACTGTGCACAGGAAACCACCAAAGTCATCTGAGAAAATTGCAGGGCCCTGTAGCCCCGGGGCTGGCCAACCCCAGCTTGGCAGACGTGGCTTTAGGGTGGAGGAGACTGACAGAGGGTACAAAGCCTTCTCACCCAACTAGTTGGTGCTGGCTGCTGGCCCGGGGCAGGCTGTTTCTTTGCAGTAACTCGGATCTTCCTTTGAACCTGGCTTCAAGGCCTGCCCTCCCACTCCCTGGCCTGATCGTCCAGCCAGTCCTGCAGCGCCCCCTGCTGTCTGAGCTGACAGGGACATGCAAAAAGGGAAGATGGGCAGAAAACCAGCCAGGGAGCTCAGGCCACCCCCACCGACAAGAAGGCCAGGGAGGAACGATTTCCAAGACACCCCCATGCCAAGGGCTGTCCCTTGGTCCCTGCCAGCCAGCACCTCTGTCATCTGGCCAACCAAAGGGCTCAATGTTTTCTTCTTTTTTTGAGACGGTCTGGCTCTGTCGTTCAGGCTGGAGTGCAGTGGTGTGATCTCAGCTCACTGCAGCCTCAAACTCCTGGGCTCAAGTGATCCTCCCACCTCAGCCTCCCGAGCAACTGGGATTACAGGTGCCCACCACCATGCCCAGCTAATTTTTGTTTTCTTTTTTGTATTTTTGGTGGAGACAGGGTTTCACCACGTTGCCCAGGCTGGTCTCAAACACCTGGTCTCAAGTCATTCTCCTGCCTTGCCTCCAAAGTGCTAGGGTTATAGGCCTGAACCACTGTGCCCAGCTGGCTCAATGCTTAATTTGGAAAATATGATCTTGCTCTCTGGGCCAGGGTACTGAACGGATTCTGCATGATCCCTCTGGAAGCTTGTCTCCCTGTCCCCATCATGTCACCCACCCCACCACTGGTAAGCCATCTCCTAGGCCCGGGCATGGCAAGAGGAAGGGAGCCTTGTCGCCTTGTCAGACGCAAGGGACACTCATGTCTGTGGACTTGAGCTCCTATGAAAGATCCCAGAGCAGAATCGACAGATGTGGTTCCCTTTTATCCAGCCAGCATGCCTCCTTTTTCAGACTGAAAGAAAGAGGGGAAGGGGTAGAGAAGCAGAACACTCATGGGGGAGGACTAAAGTGAGCATGGGAGTCAGAGAGATGGGCAGAGGCTGCGTGCGCAGTGGGGCCTGAGACCATGCCCCGGAAGCAACCTGGGTGTGTTGATATCCATTCCAGAGACAAAAAGAAACATGCTGCTAAGGCCAGGCATGGTGGCTCACGCCTATAATCCCAGCACTTTGGGAGGCCGAGGTGGGCAGATCACCTGAGGTCGGGAGTTCGATACCAGCCTGGCCAACATGGTGAAATCCCATCTCTACTAAAAATACAAAAATTGTGTGTGTGTGTGTGTGGGTGTGCTGGCACACACCTGTAATCCCAGCTACTTGGGAGGCTGAGGCAGGACAATAGCTTGAACCCAGGAGGCGGAGGTTGCAGTGAGCCAAGAACGAGATCACGCCACTGCACTCCAGCCTTGGCGACAGAGCAAGACTCCATCTCATTAAAAAAAAAAAAAAAAAGAAGAAAGAAAAAGAAAGAAACATGCTGCTAAGGTGGAGTGTGCAGCGATAGCACTGCAAACCGGAGCAACTGGGAAACCCAACAGAGGGAAACAGCTGCTTGAGGTCTGAGCAATGAGGAACCCAGAAAAGGTGCCAGCAGCAGCAGGACACCCCACCAGAGATCCTGCTGGTGGCCGAGGGAAAAGGGGGCCCGAAACCCAATTGTGATTGAGAAAATCAAGAAGGCCAGTGCCGTGGCTCATGCCTGTAATCCCAGCACTTTGGGAGGCTGATGCAGGAGGATTGCTTGAGCTGACGAGTTGGAGACCAGCATGGATAACATAGGGAGACCTCGTCTCTACAAAAAAAAAAAAAAAAAATTAGCCAGGCGTGGTGGGTGATGCATGCCTGTGGTCCCAGCTACTTGGGAGGCTGAGGCCAGAGAATTGCTTGAGCCTGGGAGGTTGAGGCTGCAGGGAGCTGTGGTCGTGCCACTGCACTCTAGCCTGGGTGGCAGAGGAGACCCTGTCTCAAAAAAGGAAAAGAGGCCTGTAATTTCAGCACTTTGGGAGGCAGAGGCAGACACATCGCTTGAGCCCAGGAGTTCAGGAGCAGCCTGGGCAACATGGTGCAACCCCCCTTCAGAAAGAGAGAGAGAGAGAGAGAGAGAGAGAGAGAAAGGAAGGGAGGGAGAGCGGGAGGGAGGGAGGGAGGAAGGAAGAGAAAGAGAAAAGAAAGAAAAGAACCTTTTCTGAATGAAAAGATACTCTCCGTGTGGAAATTAACAGGCCCGCCTCCAGGTACCTGTTCAACAAGGTTGAATCTTCAAAAACTTCAAGATCTTCCAGGAAGAGAGGAGAGATCATGTTTAAAGATACGAGACTGGCTTTGAGTCCCGTTACGCCAGCCACGGAGAAGAGAAAGGTGGGGACAGTTCGTATACAGCCAAGAGAAAAGTGACTTTTATTAAAGCCTGGATCCACAGCCAAGGAACATTTGTCTTTAAAATACCCATAGTTTCCCCCGAACCAAATTCATATGTTGAAGACCTAATCCCCAGTACCTCAAAATGGGACTGCATTTGGAGATAGGGCCTTGAAAGAGGTGATGAAGTTCAAATGAGGCTGTTAGAATGTGCTCTCATCCAACCTGACTGGCATCTTTATAGGAAAAGATTAGGACATACAGGGACACTGGAGGTGTGCATGGAGGGAAGGCCATGTGGGGACACAGGGAGAAGAAGGTGGCCTTCTGCAGGGCAAGGAGAGAGGCCTCAGAAGCAACCCAAGCTGCTAACACCTTCTTCTTCTTTTTCTTTTTAGACAAGGTCACCCTTTACTCTGTCGCCCAGGTTGGGGTGCAGTGGCGTGGTCTTGGCTCACTGCAGCCTCAACCTCCTAGGCTCAGGTGATCCTCCACTACATCCAGCTATTTTTGTATTTTTTGTAGAGACAGGGTCTTGCTATGCTGTTTAGCCTGGTATTGAACTCCTGGGCTCAAGTGATCCCCCTGCCTCAGCCTTCAAAATTGCTGAGATGATAGGTGTGAGTCACTACATTTGGTCGATACATTGTTTTCAACTTCCAGCCTCCAGAATTGTAAGAAAACACATTTCTCGCCAGGCATGGTGGCTCACGCCTATAATCCCAGCACTTTGGGAGGCTGAGGCAGGTGAATCACTTGAGGTCAGGAGTTCGAGACCAGCCTGGCCAACATGCGAAAGCCTTGTCTCTACTAAAAATACAAAAATTAACCGGGCGTGGTAATGTGCGCCTGTAGTCCTCGCTACTTGGGAAACTGAGGCAGCAGGATCACTTGAACAAAGGAGGTGGAGGTTGCAGTGAGCTGAGATTGTGCCACTGCACTCCAGCCTGGGCGACAGAGCGAGACTCCATCCCAAAAACAAACAAACAAAAACATGGGTGTTGTTTAAGCCACCCAGTCTGTGGTATTTTGTTATGGCAACGCTTGAGAACTAATAGAGTCCAGGAAACAATTTGTCAACCAACTTCCAAACAGCAAAAATCATACATAGGCTCGGGAAGAAATGAAAGACACGTGAGCAATAACCATCCTCAGATATTAACAAAGGATGATTGATAGACAGTAAGATCAACCAGCACATCAAACGTGTGGAGGGAATTGTTAGGAAAGAAACTCAGAATCTCAAAAAGGATTTTCTTTAGCTAAGATATTTCAGCAGATGGGTGGGTAGGGTATGGAGGGAGAAGGGAAGAACAATAAACTGAAACCATTTAAGTCTTTCTCTCCTCTAGAAGCCAGTTGAGAGAGTGGCAGATTTAATAATACTTTTCATTTACATTTCAGTGACATGCTTACCAAGGCGATTATCACTTCATTTTATTAAAGGTTACACAAATGCTAAAAAGAAACTGTTACCGTGTGTGTGTGTGTGTGTGTGTGTGTTTTGAGTTGAAGTTTCACTCTTGTTGCCCAGATTGGAGTTCCATGGTGCTTCCATGGTGCAATCTTGGCTCACTGCAACCTCCGTCTCCTGGATTCAAGTGATTCTCCTGCCTCAGCCTCCGAGTACTTGGAATTACAGGTACCCACCACCACGCCCAGTTAGTTTTTGGACTTTTTAGTAGAGATGGGGTTTCACTATGTTGGCCAGGCTAGTCTCGAATTCCTGACCTCGAGTGATCCGCCCACCTCTGCCTCCCAAAGTGTTGAGATTACAGGCGTGAGCCACTGTGCCTGATCACCTAATGCATTTTATTAGGAAAATGTGATACTGATTCTCAAATCTGATAAGCCCAGCACTAGAAAGTTCTAAGCAATGCAAAAGATCCCCGAGAGTGATCTGCCTCTAATCTTCTACATCTGAGAGCACCTGCAAGGTGTGGGGTGGAACAGACAATGGACCAGGAACCAGCAGACTTGGGTTTGAGTCTCAGCGTTGCTCTTGAGCAGCTCTGGGCTAGAGGCATACCATTTAATCTCTCTATGCCTCAATTTCCTAAGTTTGTAAAACAGTCACAACACTCCGGATGCAGGGGTGTTTGAAAACACGGATATTGCCCTAGCCTGTTGGTATAAGTGAAGTTATAGAAATATTAACACCAGGGTTATAGTGGCTCAATGCAAAATTGTCTCAACCAGCCTGGCCAACGTGGTGGAACCCCGTCTCTACTAAAAATACAAAAATTAGCTGGATGTGGTGGTGGGCGCCTGTAGTCCCAGCTACTCGGGAGGCTGAGGCAGGAGAATCACTTGAACCCGGGAGGCGGAGGTTGCAGTGAGCTGAGATCACGCCACTGCACTCCAGCCTGAGCGACTGGGTGACAGAGTGAGACTTCATGTCAACAAAACAAAACAAAACTGTGTCTTGAAAGAGCCTCCCCAACAGTTTCTGGAAGTTCCTGGTTTCACTGGTGCTCAGAGACAGGTGAGCCAATCTTGCAGGTGGCCTCCTGGAAGACAGCCCCCCAAGACAGCTGAGGAAGGCATCCTGTCTCTGGCCTAGACCCAGCTGCTGTTGCCACCCATGGAGACACAGACGCTCTTCCCTGATACTGGGTTCTCTCCTGCAGGGTCCCTGCAGGTTGTTCTATTTAGTTCTTCATCCATGGAACTTTGTGCTTTCTTCTCGTGTCCGCTTCTGTAGGGCAGGCTCAGGCTGGGCTGGGGCCGACATTGTCCCCTGCCTGGGGACACATCTATGTGTGCACATGGAGGTGCGGGCAGCGGGGGGTCCTCCATCCTCAACAACTGCTCAGGGTCAGTGTAGACCATCCTGGAGCAGAAATGTTGGGTTTACAGGTCCTCAATCCTTTCTCTGAATTCGGCACCACATGTGTCTTGGAATTCAGAATACGTCAGAGCAGAGGAAGGTGCTGTGTGGATCTAGTGGTGTGTGTTCGATCACAATCTGTGGGGTGTGGACAGCAGTGCATGATCACTCCACTAGCAGTCCCGGGTGCGGCTGGCAGGATTCACAATCACAGGACAACATCAGGACCAAAAATCACCTCACATCAGTTCAGGTCACATTGTGCCACTAAATGTGTTTGTGGCAAAGTTTGGAAACATGTTTTGGTTTTCAGAGCTTTTTGGAGTTAAGAATCATGGCTAACACATTGGAGACCCACATTATCCTCTTTCTGGGTTAGCTGAACCTCCCCATCTGGACATCCCTGCTCTGGGGAGAAGCAGAGAGGCAAAGTGGAAAGTCATGCATTGATTCTGCATTGACTGTGTGCTGGGAGCACTGATTCTGCATTGACTGTGTGCTGGGAGCACAAACAGCTCTTTCACTGATGTCATCCCACTAAGAGGGTGGGGGCAGGTCTGAACCTCCCATTCAGGACAAAGGTCAGCTCAGCCTGACCAGGAAGCAGAGAGTGGTACTGGCTGAGCGCTAATGTGTTTACCCACAGCCTGAGCAGGTGGGAGTTCCATCTGCTAATGCCTCCCAGCTGCCTCTCTGGGATGGTGGTGCTGAGACGAGAGAGGGGCCCTGGAGAGGTTCCCTGGAGAGGCTGGAGGTGCTGAGCAGAGCTCCTCATGGCCCTGATCGGCTCTGCCAACTCCCGCTTCCCATTGGTGGAGGAAAAGACCTTTCCCCAAGGGGTGTGGACTCGGGTCGCTCAGCAGAATCTCAGGGTCATCTCCAGCTAGGTCCTCCTTTCCTGTTCTCCTAGGACCCTGGGTTAAGAGACTATTTTCTTTCTCCTCATTGGCAACAACAAAAACTACAGCCCCAGTGCTGGTTCTGGGCCCATGAACCTGTTCTGGCTTAGGGCAGGGAGTAATGTGGAATCGAACCAGCGTGTTTGAGACCTATGGGGCTGTGTCTCCCGTGGCTGGACAGATATGGGCCTGGGCTCCTCACATCTGATTTAAGATCACCCCTTCCTGGCTGGCCCTGGGGGCTTTTGTCCCCCAAGCAGTCCCCTCCCATTGCTCAGCTCAACCTCTTTGATTCCCCCAGCCTAAGAAATGCTTTAAGTCCTGAAGATATCTTCCTTTTCAAACTCTTGGCATTGCCACTGGGAGCTGGAGAGGTGATCCATTCAGGGAATGAGAGGCAGGCACCAGGAAAGGGGGGTGGGCTGGAGACAATTCACATCCATCCATCCATCCATCCATCCTTCTGTCCATTTTTCCATCCGTTCAACCAACATTTATCTGCATTCATGATGAGCCAGGCAAAATGCCCCCCTCAAAGGAATGCCCACAGCACTGATGTTATTAGCCTGTTCCTGGCAGTGCCCTTTCATCTTCCCAGGAAATAGGGATTGCTGGTGAAGCAATGTGGGAGTTGGTTAAGTTGTCCCTCTCTACCTGGGAGCCACACCCAAACGAGGAGCCTCACCCCCACCCAAGGAAAGCAAGGTGTTGATAAACGTTTTTTGAGCACAACCTCAAAGGCCCCAGTACATGTGGCCATGAGCCACCCTGAGCTCCCCAGCTGGGCCCCTTTCTCTACACTTCTGCCCCTTTGGGGAGTCCCGGAGGCTCTATCACAGGCTTTGCCGCCATGCCCTCTGGCTGTGTTGCCAAAGTGCAGGGCAGGTAGGCATCGTGGATGACCTGTCGGACAGTGGCCCGGAAAGTCTTGCTGACAAAGCAGTAGAGGCCAAAGTTGACTGCCGTGTTGAGCATGGCCACCATGTTGGCCACATCCAAGGCCAGGTGGACCCTCCAGTCCCGGTGGACAGGGGCCACATACATGTGGTAGAGCATGACAAAGACCCGGGGTGCCCACAGGAGGGTGAACAGTGTGGTGATGCCCAAGAGGATGGCTGTGCTCTTGCCCACCCGGGCCTGCAGCCCACTCTGGCCCCTCCTCCGTAGACGGTGGATGATGGCCGAGTTGGTGACCAGGAACACACCACAAGGGATGAAATAGACAGTGAGACAGTGAGCCCACTTGAGGACCTCGTCCAGAGTGCTGGGTGAGTCGGCGTCTCTCCACACGTCCAGCCACCAGTAGAAGGGGATGCCGGTCAACAGGGCAGCACTCAGGACAGCAGCAATGGCCCGGCGGGTCCGGCCTGGGGACGAGGCAGCCCGATGGTGCAGGGGGTGGCACAGGGCAGTGTAGCGGTCAACTGTGAGCAGGATGGCGATCCAGACTGAGGCGTGGTTGGCAGCAAACTCCAGGATATTGGCGATGCGCACCACAACCTGGGGCACCTGGCGGGCCAGCAAGGCTCCCTGCAGGAGGAAGCCCGCGAACACGATGACCACCTGGATGATGATATCCGAGGCCGTGAGTGCCAGAAGGTAGTAGTAGGAGGGCTTCCTGGTCCTCGTGGCAAGGCGGCCCAGGGCCACTGCGGTCAGGAGGCTGACTGGTGGCAGCCAAGGTCAGGGAGGGGAGAGGCAGAGGCATCAGAAGAGAGTTCAGACTCTGCTTTCCAAGGTGTCGCCATCGCCCCTCCCCATCTGCGTGTGCAGAGGCTGTGCTGGCTTCTGCTTTTTCTCCTTCCAGATCCTTCTGAAACCCCACTTTGCCCAGAAGGCAACCCAGGCCACCTCTGCCCTGTCCATCCACTGCAAGCCACTGGCTGTACCCCAGTTATACACAGGTAAGTGCACATGGCAGGGTGTCCTCAGAAGCCACCTGTCCTGGCTGGGTGTGCTGGCTCACGCCTGTAATCCCAGCACTTTGGGAGGCCAAGGTGAGCAGATCACCTGAGGTCAGGAGTTCCAGACCAGCCTGACCAACATGGAGAAACCCCATCTCTATTAAAAATTAGCCAGGCATGGTGGTGCATGCCTATGATCCCAGCTACTTGGGAGGCTGAGGCAGGAGAATCACTTGAACCTGGGAAGCGGAGGCTGCAGTGAGCTGAGATCACACCACTGCACTCCAGCCTGGGTGACAGAGCGAGACTCCATCTCAAATAAATGAATGAATGAATAAATAAATAAATAAATAAATAAATAAATAAATAAATAAAAGAGAAGCCACCTGTCCTATGGCATTGTCCTTCAAGTCCTTTTTAGGTTTTCTGTATCCTCCAGAGTGGAGGCGTCCCTGGACACAGACATGGGTTTAGCTATCAGACTTGGAGAAAGCCCCAGGGCCGAGACGACCACCCATTCTTCCCATATCCGTGCACCTACCTCTGCCCCCAGCTCTGCTCTCTGAAGGCATGGGCAGCACAGGGAGCTTGGTAGTGAGCTCAGCCAGTTCCTATGTGAATTCTGCTATCCTAAGAGGGTGCTCACTGCTGGGGAAAACTTGGGTTTAGCCGTGAGCACCCCCAAATCCTAGCCCCTTACTTTTACTCCCCAGTGACCCAGAACACCCTGACAATGGCAAGGAAAGACCAGGGGTCTATGATCCAGGGCCTCAGGGGTCAACACAGAGGACTGGCACCCATTGAAGAAGGATCCCCATTTCTGGCCAAGCCCAAGTCCCCAGACCCCAGCTTTCCACTCACCAGGCAGCCCCAGGCCCAGCAGGACACTGTAGTAGATGACAGGGATGACGCCAGCTACACACGGGGACCTCTCTGGGATCTCTGGCCAGTGGCTTTCAAACTCCTGGCTCAGCCCGCTGCCGTTGGGTGTGGGCAGCAGGGTCACTCGTGGCTGGCCAGCTAGAAGGGGAGGACGGGCAGAGTCAGAGCCTCTGGTCTATTTCTAACCTGGCTGGGCAGCAGCCCCGCCCTGACCTGGGGTCTTTCTAGTCACCCTGCTCTGTGCAGACGCTCTAGTCAGACCCAGCTGAGTGCACTGTCTGTTGCTGTGAGAATTCTTGCTAAGACCACCCTCACCCCCACCCCACCTCACCCCACTGCCTCAGTGGCCCGGCTCCCCCACTGATGGGAAGTCCGTGGCAGCACGATCTGCTGCCATAGAGACCACTGCTCCCCATGGGTCCTCACCCTGCCTAGCAGGGGCTCTGAAACAGGATCACGGGGGCACTTGTGGAGATGCAGGCTCCTGGGCCTCCTCTGGGCGGGCTGGGCCAGAGGGTCTGAAGCGGGGTCACAGCAGCTGTGCTTGTCATCAGCATCTGGGCGATTCTGACCCAGGTGATGCCGGCCACACACAGGGACCTCTCTGGGAGTCCCACAGTGGAGGCCCCAGGGCTGCGTAGCACCACTCAACAGCTGTCCCCCTCTAAAGAGAGGCTGTTGCTAGGACCCCCTCTTTTCTAAGCTAAAGAGACCCTCTTCAGAGGTGAGCACCACTAAAGCTGGAATGACCCAGGTCCACAGATGGGGAAACTGAGTCCACAGGGGTAAGGTGGCTGGTCTAGGATGAGCACCGTCCACTCTGGCCCCTGTTCCCCTGAAACCACACTGCACGTCTCTTTCAGGTAGAACTCCAGCTTTTCATTTCCTGCTGCAGCCCGGGGGCTCACTGCTCACTCACTCTCAGCTTCGGCCCCTACTCCACCCTCTAGGTCCCTAACCTGCCTTCTGTTCCCTTCTGCCTTCCCACCTGATTGCCCCCAGCACACCGTACTTCAAGACGCCTTACCTGTCTCTCGTCCCTCAAGCCTCATGCTCTGGGGCCCTGAGTCCTGGGTCACCTGTGGCTTTTCCTGAGGGTCCCCGCAGCTCTCTGTCAGCATCGCCAGCTGCACCTCTCACCCCTTGGCTCTCCAAGTGGTTGTTTGCCCCAGGATCCTTCCCGAGACACGGAGCCTATTAGTGCAGGGGGGTGGGGCGGGGGAAGGAGGAGGAAGGAATCGGTGGGCGGAGGCACCGGGGAAAGAGCTAGGGTAGATGCTGGTGGAGCAAACCAGGGTCCTCTAAGGCGTGCAGGCAGGAGAAGGGGTCGGGCTGGGCAGGGGCTTCAGCTTCAGGAGAGACGAGCTGAGGGTGGCGTGAGGTTCACAGGTCTGTCTACGCCTGGGGGAGCAGGAAGTGAGGAGAAGAGGCAGGATGGCAGGATGGGGGTTCTGGGGGGCTGCCTCCTGCCCCGGGGCACTCTGTGAGCTGGCCTGGGCTCAGTTGGGGTCACATCCTGAGGCTGAGGACTTTGGGGACAGGCAGAAGGACTCGGGGTGCTGACCCTGAGCATCCAGACTGGGAGGGAAGAGAGAAGAGCACCTCTGCGAGGAGTTGGGGGACTCGTGCCAGATAGGACGGTTGAGGCTGCCACAGACAGGGCTATGATCCCAAGAGGCCCAGGGGACCAGGTATACAGGGTCAGTCCTGCAGTGACCATGGTGGGGGAGGTGAAGGCTGCCCCCAGGGGCAGGGTAGCAGGCAGTCGTGCACAGGGTGGGGCATCCCCTGGGAGCAGCCAGACCAGGCTGCCTGCAGCCGGTGCTGGGAAACCACAGTCCTGCAAGCTGTTGTTTTCCTGGCCCTAGTGAAATGGATCATCCCTCAAGAATATCAATCCCTGGCAAATAAACACCAGCCGGTGCCGGTGAGCACTCAGAGGCCAGAATCTGCAGCTCTGGCTCCCCTGCCCTAGAGGAAGAGTGACTGGAGCAGCCCACAAGCAGGCACCCGGTACATAGATGCCCCATAGACGGCCTTGGGAGGAGAGCTCAGGTCCCCCCCGGAATCACCTCCCACGGCCTGTCCTCTGGGAATGCAGCAGAAAATATGGCAGGAAATATAGGGAGCTTCCCAGCTCTGGGAGTTAGATCTCACATCCGAGCCTGGAATCCCCCTCCCCAACACTCCCTCGGATACTCACAGCAGAGGCTCTGCTGCCTCCTGGTGGCCACATCCTGATCCTGCAAGCCTGAAAGTCGCATGGTTTGGCCAGGCACCCTGGGCAGCACAGTGAGACTGGAGAGGGAGCTGCCTGCTCAGGAAAGGTCCTCTGGTGGAGTGCTGGGACCCCAGCCCCAGAAAGTGCAAGGAGCACAGATGACGCCCCAGGCCACCACCTCCTTGCAGCGGGAGGCTAGGGGTGAGAGAAGGCAGGACCTCTCTTCAAGGAGCTGCCATGGGTGAGGGGCAAGGAGGGTCCCCGCCAACGTTTACCGAGTGCCTACCCTGTCCCTACACCTTGTTTTTTAAATTTTATTTTATGTATAGATACATAGAGAGTTTGGGGTCTTGCTGTGTTGCTGAGACTGGTCTGGAACTCCAGGCTTCAAGTGGTCCTTCTGCCTTGGCCTCTCAAAGAGCTGGGATTACAGGTGTGAGTCACCATGCCAAGCCCACTTTGTTTTTTTGAGGGATGTACACTTGATTGGAAACTTTAAAATATTCTTCAGACAGAACACAATGGTTTCAACCAAGGCTCTCACAAAACTAGAGCTCCCTGGATTCAGAGAGAGGAGAGGGAGAGATGGAGGAGGGGGACTAAGTTTGCTAAAATTATGCCCCATGCACGTCCTTCCAGCAACTTAGAATCCCACCCCATAGAAGGTCTGTTCTGGGAGATGGCTGGGTTCACCCTGGCAGAAACCTGCTGGAAGTCCTTGGATGTGTCTTTCTTTTTTTTTTTTTTTTTTTTTTTCCATTTTTTTTTTCTTTTTTTTCTTTTTTT